TAGAACCTAGTCAAAGTTCCAAGGAACGTGATCCTTATTTTATTGACAGGTTAGTTGATTCGGGCATTTTTAATTATCCTTGATAAGAAAATAGTAGATATTGTTTTGCCATACAGTTTTCCACCTGAGGGATCAGCCACACTATTTAGAAGAAAAGAAAGGTATTTTTCCTTTCTGATCAAATCTCCCTTTCTGCTCCTACATTCACCTTTCTGCTTTGAGCAGACATTGCTATTGCTAATAAACTTCACTGTTGCCAAGGTAGAAAAAAAGACTTCTAGAAACAAATGGCCTCTTGCTGCTGTTGCGTGTGGTGGGGGGGCTATCAGGATCCACAGTCCTGCCCCCTGCCTCCTTCTCCCCGTCTGTTGCCAAGGTAGAAAAAAAGACTTCTAGAAACAAATGGCCTCTTGCTGCTGTTGCGTGTGGGGGGGGGCTATCAGGATCCACAGTCCTGCCCCCTGCCTCCTTCTCCCCCATCTCTTGCTCCCCAAGCAAGGGCACGGTGCTGTTCCAGTGGGCTGGTTCTACTGATCAGAGAGGGACAAGGCCACAATCAGAACTTGAAAGTCTGAATAAAATCTAACAGAGGGCTTAGGTTAAGAGCTATAGAAATTCCTTCCGCAGATTTTGGGAACTACTGATCAGCATCTAAGGCTGGGGTGTAGCTCAGTAGCAAAGGGCTTGCCTAGCATATATGAAGCCCTAGGTTTGACTCAACACTGCCAGAAAAACAAACAAACAAACAAAAAACCAATCTTTCCGCAGATTTTGGGAACTACTGATCAGCATCTAAGGCTGGGGTGTAGCTCAGTAGCAAAGGGCTTGCCTAGCATATATGAAGCCCTAGGTTTGACTCAACACTGCCAGAAAAACAAACAAACAAAAAACCAATCTGGGGGAATGGTGATGCTCACCTGTAGTCCCAGCTATGCAGGAGACTGGTGCAGGAGGATGACTTGAACCCAAGCATTTGAAGCAAGCCTGTGCAGAAGACCCTGACTCACACAGATGTAGGAGGAGGAGAGAGGGAGGATGAAAGGAGGTTGAAGAGGAGGGAGGAGGAGGAGAGGAAAGGGAAAAGAGGAGCAGGAAAAGGAGGGAAAGAAAACTACAATTAAGACAAAGCAAAGACCAAAATCTTTGAAGCAAGATCCAAAAAGACAAAGATTTACCCCAAGATAGGAGAGACAAGATTCCTGGGCTGTAGGGAAAATGATCACTATTCAGTAAGAAAAGTCATGTAGTAGAATCACCCACATGCCTTCAAAATAAGCCCCAGGTAATTTGGGCCAAGCTTTCCCAGGGAAGACCCCATGAAAATACTGAAAATGATTCCCACCTCCTGGGACTTCTCCCCAAGTTCCGGCCATACTTCCTGACTTGCTTCTGTCAGACAGAACAGGATGAGCTGTCACTTCTGAGGTTATTTTACAGCAGACCCTGATTCCTTCATGGGGACTCTGACTCTGCCTCTCCTGGATCACTCATTCTGGGGAACACAGCCTGCCAGGTAGGGAGACAGAGAATTCCTTGCATTGAGGAAACTGACCTGTCATCCAGCAAAAACTGGAGGCCTACAAGCAGGCCATGTGTGAACTTGGATGTGGATTCTCTCCACCAGAGCCTTGAGATGTCTCTAGTCCTGGCTGGTACCTTGACTGCAGCCTCATGAGGGACCCAGCAAAGCTGTGCCTTGATTCCCAGCCCACGTGAGTTGTGAGCTCATCAGGGTCAGTTTTAGGTCATTAAGTTTGGGGGTGATTTGTGTAGACAACCAGTCCAGGCACGATGTGATACGCAGGCGTTATTTACAGCTCACAAGACACATCTGCCTGGTGTGACTCTTAGAGAAGGCTGCTATGCTGTAAGTGTCCTCCAAAGTTCATGTGCTAGAAACTTGATCCTTGATGCAAAAGGGTTAGCAGGTGGGACTTTGAAGAGGTGACTGGGTCGAAAGGGCTCTGCCTAAGTGGACAGATGTCATTATTGTGAGAGTGGCTTGGTGATAACAGCAAGTTCGGCCCTTCCTTGGTGTCTCACTCCCTCGATCCCTTCTGCCACGTGTGACACAGAACGAGGCTTTCACCAGGTGTGGCCCCTCCATCTTCGACTTCCCAGGCTCCAGAACCTTCATCCAAATCAACTAGTGTTCTTTATGAATTAGTCTGTTGCACCCTGTTACCGCAGCACAAGACAGACTAGGCTACAGACTGAACAAGAAAATTCTGCCCAATTTTCTTCCAGAGAATACCAAAGGTATATTTGCACTACCCGGTTTGTAAACCATACACCATATATTTTACTGATATGAACTATGAGGAAAAAAAAATCAATATTTTTATTTACTAAAAATATTTACTTTACAGTTACTCTCAGCTTTTGCATAATGAGTTCCCGAAATACCTAGGGCCCCCATTCAGGTGACTTCCTGCCACGCCTTACTTACAAAGTAATCAGTTAGCAGGAACTCAGATTTGTTTTCTGTAGATAACACTGCAGTTTCTTCCATGAGAGTCTGGACATCCTTTTCAACATCAACCTTGCTGATGGCACAGTGAATCTGTGTGTGGCACTGGGATGCCACGAAAAGCAGAACAAAACTGCTGAAGATTTGTTTTCTGCCAATCCTTACCATGCGTACCAGAAGTAGAGAAATCTTCACAACTCACTGTGGTCAGGGTTTGGCCAAAAAGAGAAATATGTTGGCTGTACTGGTTTAAGTTGTTGCATAAAAGCTGAATTCTTTCCTTCTCCAGCTCCAGGATGCTCTGAAGAGGATGAAAAATGAGATAAGATCAACCATTTGTTATGCAAAACTGAAGTCACTCATCAAACTCTAACACAGCTGGAGACAGCCTGCGCCTACAGTTGGGACTTATCTCTGTAATGCCCAGATCACGATATCTCAAAGGCCACCAATGAGTCGAGTCTGATGCAATCACACGAGGGGTTTGTTGCAGGCTAGAGCCCGGACTCCCGGACCTCAATGACACAGCGGTTCCATACCGAGAGCCCCGAACCCGATTTCAAACAGGCCTTTTTATCAGCAAAGGAAGCGGAACTAGGGGCTTTCTAGACGCGTCGGTGCCTGATTGGTTAACATTGGGCAAAGGCGGGCCTGATGTCCCTCCCTGCCCCAACCACAAATTCCTGCAGCAAAGGCAGATGTGTTTCTATTCTATTGGCCAGGACCAGACGTCCCTCCTTGCCCCAACCACAAGTTCCTGCAAGATTAACAGAGAAGGACACCTGGTTATAGTTTACTCGAACTGTCGTGGGATTTTCCGAGAACTGGGTCAAAAAGGGCACTCAGGCTTTTCCAATAACTGGGTGGTCGCCTGACCAACAAAATGGAGTCATTTTTTTCAAAATGGAGTCCTTTTGGTCTCTACAGTCTCCACTGTTTCCAGGAGAGAAGGAGAACTTGATGTCCTTTATCCTTTTAAGATGACTTTAACTCAAAAACTTTCTCCATGGTCTTTTGCCCCGAGAGGCGTTTACACTGATGCTGTGGGCTGCCTGATGTTCACAGAGGAGAGAGGAAGGCAAAAGAACGCACTTAGGAAGAATCTGTGATTTCTGGAGGACAGCAAAGCCCAGGAGGACCCCACACCGACATGTGGGAAATGCAGTTAGACACCAAATGCATTCAAAATCGTTCCCGGGGCAGATGAATGCTTGCCTCTGCCTCTGTACACGTCTGGCTAAGGAGTCTCTTTGGCACTAGTAGAATGCCAAAGTCTGATCAATTTGTAACTCGGACCTGAAATGAGACCAAGGGTCAGGATCCGCTTTTTGTTTGCTTTATTATTACAGGATTGGGGGTAGAACCCAGGGCCTTGCACGTGCTAGGCAAGCACTCCACCACTAAGGTACCATGCCCGGCTCCACACTCTGCTGTTTCAAAGTGGGTCGACTGTGCGAGATGACAACAATTCCACACTGGAATTTCATGACTTTGGGGATGAAGGGTAAATGAGGAAGTAAGGGGCACCATACTGGCCTCGTTAACAGTTAAATTTTACGAACACCTCGTTATTAGAGTCTTGCTGCTCCAGCTGTCGGCTATTGGCTTTGAGAGGGCAGAGAAGCTCACTGAGGAGGGTCTAGTAGGGTGTGCAGGGAGCGGCCGAGGCCACGCGGGGGCAGTGTGGGGCTGCCGGGAACGGAAATGTACCCAGAGGATGGCAGGCGTCTGAGGCAAAACTCTACAACCTGTTCTTATAAAGACAATTCGTCCTTTTATCCAGAGACAGCCAGGTTGGTGGCTTTTATAGCCTCCATCCTACCTCTCCTGTCCCACGAAGTAAAGAGTGCTCAGCAGCAGTCTTTCACGAAGGATTTGGGAAAACTGGCAATAACACAACCTTAAGGGAGAGGAAGTGTGGCTGCGTCTTACGATCTTTGGCAGGGAGGTGGGGTTGGGGAGAGGCACAGAACTCACCGAGTCCCTCACTCCTGCCCCGTCTCCTGTGGCACATCTGCAGGTTCCACCTGCCTGGCCTGTATGACGTCCCGCTATATCCTTGTAAAGTATGGTAAAATTTACATAGCATAGAATGTCCTTTTTTTATTTTTTTTTTTTTTTTTTTTTTTTTTTGACGCAGTCTCACTTCATGGTTCACACTGGCCTTGAACTATGTAGCTCAAGCTGGCCTTAAACTCATAGTGATCCTCCTGCCTCAGCCTCCCGAGTGTCAGGATTACGGGTGTGTATGCCATCATTCTGGCTTAGTTTTGACTATTTTAAGTGTACAGCTCAGTGTCTACATACATTTGCATTGTTGTGCAACCATCAGCAGCATCTCTAGAACGTCTTTCATCTTATGAAATGGACACTCTGTACCCATGAAATAATAATTGCCCACTTCCATTGTCTCCTAGGCCTCGGCAACCATCATTTTTCTATGAATTCAGCCATCATATATGTATGTATGTGTGTGTGTGTATATATATGTATATTTATATATATGTGTATATATATATATATATATATATAAAGAGGAATCATAAAATAATTTCTCTTTTATGTCTGGATTATTTCACCTAGCATGTTTTTAAAATTCATGCACCCTGTGGCACGTGCCAGAATTTTCTTCCTTTTTAAGGCTGAGTGATATCCCACTGCATATGCATTGTTTCTTAGTCTTTTTAACACTCCCTTCAAATGCAAGTCGTGAAAGGCTCAGGGCTGTAAACGTGAACACTTGTGCCGATCACATGCAAATGTACCGACTGAGCTGGGGTTCCGACCTTTGGACAGGAAGCCTGGAGCTGTGCCCCACCGCGGCCACCTTCTTAGCTACTTCAGATGCCCCACAATTTTAGTCGGTCTGCAGGAACCAAATGCCTTTGTTTCTGCTGGCCGTCTCCTGAGTCTCCAAAATCACAGGCACCAGCCATTTAAATGTGGCCATTTGCCCTTCTCCCAGATAAAGCACAAAAGACACAGACGAAGAGCCTCTCAAACACATTGATCCTTCAAAGGGCAGAATCAAAATGCCTCTCAATAAATATCTGAAACAAATTCTGCTCATTTGTTTGGATCTCAAATGGGACACTCTTCAAAAAAAAAAAAAAAAAAAAATCCTTACCCTACACAAAAAGATGTAGAAAGCAGCTGTTCCAATTTACCAGTAGGAGCAAAAGACAGGGGAGAAAATAAAAAAGCCAGGTTTCAGAATACATTGTATCCCTGGGGGCAGCTGTTTCTGTGCTTTGACAAGCGCCCAGGAGCATCAGTCTGAGACTAAAATAAACCATCGTCCTCTGGTAGAGACAGTAATGTTTAACAGATTTTAATTACATTTCAGGGAAATCATTAAAATGATCTATGTTTGCTCATGAAAAGAGGCAGAAATAAATTCTACCGTGCAAAGTAAAAATCCATATCTCACTTAATGAATTATTGCTTTCTATTATCTTTTCCTTTTTGTACAAGATGAGTGATGGAGGGGTAGATAAGACTCTGGAGGACCTCAGACTGTCCTCTTGTGCTCTCACAATGGCACATACAACAAAGCTGGTCAGAGGGAGGCCATAAGAGACAGTGGATGTAGTGCCCATCTGGGACACAGGCATCACAATAACCCAAAATCTTTATTCTCTCTCCAGTTCCTGCTGTTCTGGACCGCAGAGGACTTGGGGGGGTGGCTGTGTTTTCATTTAAATTGCTTTCGTAAAACTGATGAAAGAAGTATCATGCTCTTCCTAAGCCAGGGACCCTTGAAGTCCTGAATGACTAGAGGTCGCTTGGACCCCTTTCTATTCAGAGATTTCCGTTCACCAGGTCTGGGGAGGTGTGAAGCAATCTGCATTTTAACAAATTCTCCAGGTGCCTTGAAACATTGTCCTAGGGCCACAAAAGGGCACAAACAAATCCATTCTAAAATCTTCCCAATTCTTCCACCCAGAGGTGACCACTGTCAACATTGTGATGTATTTTGGACTATTGAGTATATGTGATTTTATCTTCTTATTGCCTATCAAAGTATTCAAATTTGGATTTTTTTCCCACTTAAGCTCATACCAGAACAATTTTCCACCATTTTCATTCTTTCATAGTAGTCGATTGTGTAGTACAATTTGGTCATTCCTTTACTGTAGGTCATTTGAGTTGTTGTTTTAATTTTAATATGTTTTCAGTAGAAATCTCTAAGCTGTTTTCTGTTACTTCTTCAAAACAGATTTGTAACATGAATCCTAGGAGAGAATTAAGCACTCACATCTCAAGGCAGTGACAGTGAGCCTTTTAGAGCTTTCAATGATAATAGATATCATCGGTTGCAGCATGTGTGAGATGGATTTGTCATCACTGTCCTGAGGTATCTAATATATGTGTGAGGTATGATAAAAAAATACAGCAAATATTTACATGTCAAAAATTTCCTACAGTAAAAGACACACTGCCATCAAACAGCCCACGGCTTCATACATCTCAGGCTTCCTCTCTTGGTGACACCAAGTGGCCCCACCATCTAGGTCTCTAGGGATGTTCAGATGATGAAACGGCCCTTCTGTTAAATCCTCAGAATGTAGCACCCTTGCTCAGTGACACACAAGTGTAACCAGTTGCTATCTGTCTGCACCTAAGCGGTCCTGGCCAAGCACTGTCCTTGCGAGAGCCGAGAAAACAGCCACTCAGATAATCTCCTTGATCTCGGGTTCAGGTGAGGAACACTGGTTGAGAAAAGGAACATTTTTAAAGCTTTCGACACACATTGCAAATGGCTGTGTAAAATAATTCCTTCAGTAAGTATTATCAGTACCAAGCATTTGATTCTTGGAAGTTCTTGATAGCAGAGCTATTATTATTTTTTAAGTAGGTTGCAGAATATTTCTATCAATTGAATTGCTTCTTCCTAGAAAGGAGGAACATAGTAAGAAGGAAGAAGGGATAATTTTGACATGTGGTTTGCGCAACTGGTTCCATTGCTTAACAGCCACACTTCAGACTATAATGTTTCTCCCAATATCTAGGAAATTGTCTCGAGCATAGTTCAATGAGTATTCTCAGAAGGAACTGGTAAATCCTGTCTTCTCCTCCTCCTGAATAGCTGAGACTACATCATGCACCAACGTGCTAGGCTAAAATAAATTCTTATATTCCGTTTTTAGCGAAGGACGGTGAGAATATGGACAAAAATATTGAGGGCTTTGACTATCCCATTTTACATATAATGAAAGTATTTTAGTGCATTCAGCCTGTCTTTGCGAATCTAATATTTCTACTTATGTGAATATACAAAAGATATAGCGCAAATAGAGTAATATGTGAGTGAATAATTTGTTGGTGTAGACCGAATAGACATAAGCTCAGAAAATAAGGGTGTCATTATTGGGGTTAGGGTGTAGCAAGGGTGATTGAGAGAGGTTGTCTCCAGTGGCTCCGACGGGCTGGGCCTGGCCCTCAGGGTGCAGGAGGCAGCTTCTAGGAAGGTGGGGTCCAAGGGTCTGCATGGACTGAACAGGAGAGGGGTGAGATTCTGCCGGCCTCTACCACAGTGGTAGCTATGGTGAGCCTTTACGGTGAGCCTTGACATGGGCACAGCCATGATTGAACTTTGAGTCACCTCACCCGCACGGATGTGCTGTCGCCCCTAGTAACGGGCTAGTTCAACTGGTGGTCTGACCTGTTGCCTAGCAAATGTAACTCATAATACTTGTTTTGTAGAACCTTGTGACCTTTACAGTCAGCTACATCCTGTTTACACTTTTGGTTTTGGTTTTAGCCTATATATACCCCACCCTGAAAAATAAACGGGGCCTTGCCACGAAGAGAGCATGAGCCTGGAACTAAGTTCGTGAAACTGCTCTCCTGTTGTTCTTCCCTCGGGTTTGGGACCTGCTGGCAGGACCCCGACATCACAACAGTAGCAAAGATCCTGGACACAAGAGGCATGAAAGGAAAACCTACTTTTCCTCAAGGAGACAGGTTTTGAATGCTGCTGCATGTGACTTGAATTCTAATTAAGCAATAAAAGCAACAAACAAGCTGAAGACCAAAGGTGGTCTTTTTAAAATGTCAGTGAATGTGCATCTTGTCACCATCAGGATGATTTTGTAAGGAAGGAGAGGTAATTTCCATGATGCTACGATGTAAAAATTAGGACTAATGAAACAGAGGGGAAGAAAGGAGTAGGAAGGTCTTCCCCCGAGAAAGGGAACTGACATAATTGAAGAGGAGACCTCGTGAGAGCCTCTGTTAATGACTAGCGTCAGCAACGCTGAATACACGCAGAAGGCCAGACCCTTGCTAGCTCTGCCCTGGAAGAGCCAGTGCTGTGGCATAGGGAGGAGGGGAAGAGGGGAGGCAATGCTGAGCTCACATATTTTTCTCATAATTGTTGAAGGGTTCCTAGAAGAAGGAGCGGTTGCTACGCTTTCTCTTCCATCTCCTAACAGAGCCATCCAGGGAAGCCAGCCACCTGGGAAAACTACCGTTTCGTAAGGCAGCCCTAGGACCGTGGTGGCGAACCTATGGCACTCATGCCGCAGCAGGCTGTTGTCATGGAAAACTCTGAAAGGTTCACCATCCCTGTCCTAGGAGGTAAGGCAAGGTCAGAGCCCAGGTTGCAGAGCCAGCTTTTAAATCCCTGGCTTTTCCTTATCCATCTATAACCTAGTCAGCATAAACCAGGGGAGCATAAGATCCTATGTTCCATGTGAAAATGAAAGAAGGGCTTTGTTCTCATTTTTCTCCCTCTTTGTCCTAAATGATCATCTCTTTTACTTTCTCCTTTCTTCTCTAACTCTGCATCTATCCTACCTGAATGTGGTTGAACTGCAGGAGATTTAAAAACAACCTTACCATTTCTGCTTGCCTGTGGCCTTGCTGCAGCCAGCTCTACTGGGAGAAGATCACAGTGTGGAAGCCTAGATCTCTAATTGTGCATACGAGGCATGTGTTCTAAGCTGCATCCCCAGCCCTTTTTGAAATTTTTATTTAGAGGCAAGTTTTCGCTAAGTCCCTCAGCCTGGCCTTGAACATGTGATCTTCAGGCTCAGGCTTCCAAGTAGCTGGAACTATAGGCATGCACACCACACCCAGCTTCTTGCATCCTTCCTGAGGTAGAGATGATAATGCTGCCTTAAAAGGCAGTGGGCCCATGCACATGTCCACTTTACTCAATACCATTAATTATTCTCACTCAAGGGGCACAAGAAATTCCTGTTTCTAATGTCCTTGCCGATACTTGATATCACCTCCTAATTTTGCCAAAAGATTGAGCATCTTTTCATGTCTAGGGTGATTCTGATTTCCCTTTTGTGACTTGTTTGTTCATATCTTTTGACTATTTTTTGTTGGATGATTTACTGCAATTCGTTCCTTATGAGTTTGTCTGTGTTACCTTTAAAATGTGAAGAAGGTATTCTAATTCAGTGCTATAAATCTCCAGTGGCCAGAACAATGCCTGAGATGGAAAGGAATCTGTAAGTGATCACTGTGTGAGTTAGACCTCAGCTGCAACTCACATCTGGGTACCTGATATCTGAGCTTTAAGTCACTCTTTACTTTGATAGCTCTTTTTACAATCAGCTGAGTGCTACTACCTCCACTGAGCATCAGAAACAGAAATTTTGGCAAATGATACTCAGTAAGTTTCCATTGGCAACTGTATCCATGGAGAAATGGAAACGAGGTGAAATGTAGTTTGCTGAGAGTCATAGTGAAATTGAGGCCCATGGCTAAGCCAGAAATTAGGTCTCGTAACTGTAGGTCTCACCTTGATTTCCAAGGTCCGGGAAGGTAAAACGTTCCGTAAAGGAAACAAATGTGAATGCAAAACTTACCTTGTAGCAGTTTTCCAGTGTGTCTTCCCATTTCAGCCTGGTTGTATAACCCGCCATGTTCTTCTGGTAATAATTCTCATCTTCCTTTTCCAACTTCTCAGTAGACTTTTTCAGTTTATTGAGGAGCTGAAGCAAAAACATCACCGTCACATATTCAAAAAGATATTAATGAGAGACCGCTGCGATTCCACAGAAGGAAGTACATGAAGCCCGATAATCTAAACTCTGTGTGGAAAGTTAACTCTATACGACAAAGCCAAAGATGATCTTCTTTTTCAGAAAAAAAAATGGCAGAGCCATAAGGAAACTTATGGCCCTTTCAGTACGATACTTTGAATTTTATACACGAAGATATTGAAGGCTTGTATGTGAAACAATTTGTCCAGGAGACAAAATCAAATCAAGAAGGCAAAATGACAGTGCAGTTGAGAATCATAAACACACATCAAAGATCTTGAATTTAAGACTGCAATCTACCAATAAATGCTATCGTTTTATTTGGTAATCCAAATTTTTTTATGAGGACAGGTAGAAACTTACGAACTGATATCATTTTTAGAGTGGCCCTGGCCACCTTCCTCTCTGACCATCCTAGAGAATCCAACTTCTTGGGTTTTGAGCCCTGGTTCTGACTGCAAATAAGTTACTTAACCCTTGTGAGTCACAGCTCGTTTATCTCCATGAAGGGGAGAATGGCAGCTCTTACTTCCTTGGGCTGCTCTGAGGATTCAGGCAGGTAACACAGGTAAGACACCAGTTACACCGTCTGATATCACTCATGACTCTCAAAGATCAGAGTACAATTATTACTAGAGAAAAGCCTACTACACGTGCCCACAGTTCACTGTAAGTCACAGGCAGTTTGACAAATGATTTCCTCTCACCCTGCTCCCCAGGGGCCTCTCCCCACAGTCACCGAAATACACCATTCCAATTGCTAAATCTTCAGGGAAATCAAAGTAACACAAAAGTTCCCCAACCACAGTAGCTGAAAACTGATGATTAAAATGCCCAGACAAGTAATTTCACATCTCTGAGAATTGAGTAAGTTAGTTTTACTTGAATGATTTCAAAACATTTCTGTGCCTGGGCCTTACCTGGGGGACCTGTAAAATTCCAAGTTTGGGACCCCACAAGTAGCAATACTGTTTCATTAACTCTGTCATGAGATTAGAAATCTGAACTTTCACTCCTTCTTCAGATGTTTGCCATGCAAACCGTGCTCAAACCACACTTTAAGGAACAGCAATAACACCCTAAGTTTTAAAAGTTTAGCAGTTTCAAGGACAAAGACAACGGCTTTTAAGAATGAGATTCTTTATGCTTAAGAACATGTTGACCAGTGTTACAATGATGAAGAACATTCATCCCGAATGCCATTTTTCCTGTGGATATGCTGGGCTGGCTATTTATCCATTCGATGTATGAGCTATGCAGGGCACATTAGTTTTGTATTTCAAGTGTGATGAACCACATCCATCTGCAGAAACAGGAGCTTGTGAATTTTCACTTGATAATGATAAAGTGAAGGGGCTGAAAGAATGCCAGGCTGTACTACACACTGTCTTAGATTCTCAGGAGAATGCACTGACTTGCTTTTGAGATCACCCCCCTCACATTCACTAGCCTGTGCCCTAGAGCTACTGACCACACACTTCTGCATGGCAGACATTCCAGAAACAGCCCTAAGTGGACATAAAAGAAGAATCTAAACTCCTATGTTTTTATTTAAGAACTTTCCTTTACTAAAATTTGTCAAGATTGAATTTTTTTTCTTTCTCTTGGAAGGAACATCTTATTCACCAGACATTAATTGCATGACTACAGCGTGACATAGGTAAAGCTTTGGGAGTAGCAAAGAGAACAAAAAATAGATTTCTTCTCCAGCTAGGGAGGCACACGGGCCATTGTTATGGTGTGATGGGTCCCAGGAATCCTGGGTGACAGACATGCTTAGCTGTCACTAGGACACCAAGAAAGCCACCTAAACTAGTCTTAGAATGAACATGACATTTAAGCTGTCAGTTTGCATGGAGTAGGTGGTGAAAGAAAAAAAAAAGAAAGGTCCATGTGTAAATAAACCTAAAATGAAAGTAAGAATTGGTATGGCAAAATACAAAATGCTGTGAGTTTGGAACACAGTTTGAGATCAGAGAGAGAGAGAGAGAGAGGGCAGAGATGATGCTGATAAAGTTCTAGGCCCAGCAGGGTCTTAAGAGCCACACAAGAGAGGGCGTACTGTAGTCTGAGGTCACTGGAAAGCCTTTGAAGGCTTTCAATGGGAGAATGATAACCTCAGATTCATGGTTCAGGAACGCCAGTTTCTCCTGTATGCGGGGAATAGACAGGAAGAGCCACACTGAAGGTCTACACACTGGTTTGTCTTTTTGTTGCAGTAACCCAGACAAATGCTGACAGTGTCCCGGGAGACAGTAGTGGCAGGGAGACAGAAATACAGAAGTTCAAAAAATGCTGGGTTTAGGCACTAGAATTGGGAGGATAGAGCAGGTGGCAGTATTCAAGGATCTAGGAAACACAGGGATAATGAGAATCTTTGGTGGAGAGAAGTGACAAGTCTGACTCCGGAGGTACCAGAGGCAGCCTGGAGACTGGTATGGGTTGGTGATGCCAGAGTGGGTATTGTTCCCATAGATTTGGTAGTTGGAGCATTAAGAGTAAACTTACTGAATCCTGGACATGGGATCAGAATGGTGAATTAAACAGAGATGGTGTCATTGTTTGTGTGTAGATGTCTCCCCAAAGCCTCATGCAGATGCAGTGGGACTTCCTTTTTCAGAGGTAGGTGAATCTGGAATGTGTGGTGCTGGGGTTAAGGGTGGGTGACTACTAAACCACTACATGTGAGGGATTAGTTTGGCACTGTCCTAATCCTGGTCATCTGAGTAAGATAAAAGGAGTAGAAAGGCACAGTTAACCTCCCGTTACCTTTGCTGCCTTGTGCCCGCCATGTTGTTTCTCCTCTGCAATGCCTGTTTGTTGTCCCTGCCTCGGAGCCAGCTGATTATGGACTGAAACCTCCATGAACTGTAAGCCAAATAAACCCCTTCCCCTCTAACTTTGGGTCTCAGGTATTTTGTCTCAGCAATGAGAGAAAAGTAACTAACACAGATGGCCAAAGGGAAGTCCTTAGGAAAAGCGATATAAAATGTCAGAGAAACGGAGTCCATAAAGGAGTCTCAGATAAAATTTCCAGAGAGGCGGAAGAAAACGCAAGAGAGCGCTGCTGCTACAGTTAAAAAGAAGAGAATGTTTCCGAGAGGGGGAAATGAACAAGGCTTGAAACACAGAATGAAGCTTCCAAGAAGTTCCTTTAAGGTAAGGACTGGAAAGCACCCACAGACTTTCACGACAAGGACATCGTTTTTGGATGGCAAGAGCAAGCTGAGGGAAATGGTGGGGGAAGATTGTTTAGGGCGGCTTGAGGCTTGAACAAGAGCTGAGAAAGTGGAGTTAGCAACCAACCCTTTCAAAAAACCTCACCGTAAACAGGAGGAGAGAGGATGATGGTGGAACAGGAATAGGACCGTGATGACGGGCTCTGACTCCCCGTTCTCCCGGGCTGCGGTGCCAGAGCCTGAAAGTCAGTGCGCATTGAGTCTCAAGCTGAATTTCCCATGCCCGAGGCGATGGGAGAAGAGACCCTTGGGAGGGGCTGGGTGTTGAAAGTAGAGCCCTTATGAATAGGATTTGTGCCCCTGTAAAGGAACCCCGGAGGTTTCTCTTGCCCTCTTGCTGCCATGGGAGGATAGAAGGAGAGCATCACACTCTGCAGCCTGGGCGATGGTCCTCCCTGGAACCTAAGTGGGACCCTGGGCTTGGACTTCCAGCCCGCGGAAAGGTGAGGAATAATTTGCCTGACGTCTAAGATGTCCAGGCTGTGGTAGTAGTTAAAGCGGCCTGAGAAGATTAAGATGGGCGAGGTGAGAAGACTTCGGGGAAGGAACCCCTGGAGAGGGACAGAGGGTCTGTAAGAGGCGGGAGGGTGAGGGGAGGGTGGGGCTCCCCCGGGGCTCCCCCACCCCACCCCACCCCGGGCCTGCTGACTTTCGCTTTTCTCTATGGGCGGAAGCAGAATAGTCTGCCGGAGAGGGAGAGGACGTTGAGGATGGAGTGGAAGAGCCCGAAGGCTCAGAGCAGCTTCCGGTGGGATCAAGAACTGCAAGCGGACCGGGGGAGGAGCAGGAAGGCTTGCAGACGCGGGTGCCTCTGTGTGGGTGAGACGTGAGTGCAGCCTCAGGTTTTCAGCTTCAGGGCTAACACAGCAGCTACCAGGCAAAGCAGTGACGAGGGGAGGGGTCTGTGACATAAAACCAGGCAGAAGTCCTGGTTGGAGGATGCTGCAGGCGAGCAAACAAGGCCTTGGGCTTCAACCTCAGGCAAGCTCTTCATGAGGGGAGGAGGAGGACTTCACCACTCAGCGGGGCAAGCTTTTCCTTCTGACTGCTTGGCGGTCATCAAGAACGGCTTCTGAGGAGGCCTAAGAATGCCCGGAACAGGTCCTGCTGCCTTTGAAACACCTGAGGCAGATCATTATTTAGCGCTCGCCGTGAGCCTTTCCCACGTGAAGGCTAAGTAGGAAGCCCGGGAAATCCTACCAATGAATTTTAAGTTGTCCAGCTAATAGTTTCTTCAGCTGGAATGATGGAGCCACTTCAATGACCCTTTTTAAGAACGCTTTGGGACTGCAGCCGGCATTTGCCTTTCCTTTCCATCTTCTGGGGAAGGCGTTGAGTGTTTCATAGTTTCCAGTACGGGACATAGATCACAAGAGGCGTATGAGGTAGCCTACTGGGGTGTAGGTAGAACGTACTCTAATTTTGCTCCTGCACCTCAGTACTGTGTGTGTTCTTACTTGCCTAACAACAGCTTTGAAGCTTACTCTTATTTGATGCGCTAGAGGAAGGACACTGGTGTCACACGCGGACAGTTGTGGATTCTGAGGTGGCTTTGAGAGAAGTGCGGGATTTGGCAACATGAGAAGCCATCTTGGCCCATGCAAGGGTCCTTACTTCTAGCATCTGGGACATGTGGTTTTTGACATGTGCCAGGATCGTGGATTAAGAGAGGTATTATTTTGCTTTAATTGAACTGATATACACAGAATGCACATGTCTTAGAACTATTTCCGCCAGGAGCCTGTGGACTGATTTTACTACTAATAAAGTAAATGTAAACTAAGCATCAGCGTTGATGCTTTCTCCTGCTCCTGTTATAAGCAAACATCACCCATGTGAAAAAGCAATAACGGAATGAGCTAGTTGGACATGGCAAGATGTTAATGAAGAAATTTTAATTATTTAAAAATTCAAAATTGTCAAAAGGATTGTTAGAAATATCAATTTATATTTACTGTGGTAAAGGCTAAATCCTGCCCCAAGGGTTTATTTTGCATATACATTTGCTTAATAATTATCACTCTGTGATTGTATAAAGGCATCATTATAAACTAAACATTTAAATACTGTTTCATCTTTGCCTCATCCTGCAAATGTTTCTACTTTGTTTTATAACGTTCATAACATATATGAAATCCTATATATTATATGACAGTAGATGTAAGTACACAGAATTTTTATTGATTTGGAATATGAATTGAGATCTTTTTCTATTAATAGAATGTTCTAACCAAAAATAATTGGACACTTTGGCCTCTGTCAGTAATACCTTCTAAAACTAAATGTGCAGCAGAAATGACCTAGAATCCTTCTCATTCTCTGTCAGTCTACAGTTCTGCAGAGACCCCACTGCGGGAGGAACGGCCAGTTCTCAGGGCCCCCAGATGAGGGCAGGAAGCCCACCTGTCTCCCAGCCTCACACCCCAGATCCTGTGCTGGCTTTTACCTTCTGCTTCTCCTTCTCGGTCACAGACTGCTTGGAGCTTTCTATAAGATGGAAAAGGGCTTCATGCTTCTTGGTACTCACCATTAGTTTTTTCTTAGCCTAGAGTAAAAAAATATACAAATAAACAAGGCGGGGCAGAAACTGATCATTATGAGAAAAACTCTCCTGTTCTGAAGCAAGGCATGTTTGTGTGGTAGCTTGAGTGACTATGTTGTTTTAGTTCTTTGTTCCTGCTTTCACCTCAAAATCTGCCTAAAACACTGCGGCAGTGAACACTTTGCCTGATAACCACTGCATGCTTTTTTATTGTATTGGGTACACTCAAGGGGATTATATGCTTTGTCAAATCACCAAAGGCCTACAGGCCTCCACCACATTTTCTACAGAGCATAATGGTTTTACTGAAACAATCATGGAAGCCGGCCTGCTCCACTCTTCAGTCAAACGGTATGGGAGAAGTTCAAGCCTGACTGGGCCAGGTGTGCTGCACTCCTGTCTCCTGAGCAAACTCAGAGTCCATGCTAAGGCTGAGCAAGCTCGCCTAAGTGGGTAGATGCTGGGTCTAACAGGCTACACCTCTGCCCCTAGTCCGTGACTCCCGCACCTCGCCTGAGAAAAATCACCCCACCATATGTCTAGCCAATAAGATATCGCCCAGTGTTCTCCGCTTATGTATGGACCTGCATAACCTATAAGAAAGTGCCATGTAATTAAATGCTCCTCCCATGCTCCTCCCCCATGGTTGTCCACATGTAAGCTATATAAAGCCTGTGCATTTCCTAAATAAAGCAGAAGCATTCCAGAAACCTCCCCGGAGCCTGCCTGATGATTCTGCACCTTACCCTCCCAGTCCGAGCTCCCGAACTGAACTCCACAGACCAAACAGCGGACGACAACAAAACTGTCCACAGTTGAGGTTGTTTTAAAATAGTCTTTTAAAAGTTTAGCAAGGGTGGAAACGTCCCTTTCTGATGCCTAGCTTGAGAGCTGGGATTGCCTGGCATCTTGGGAAAGGTCCTGTGCTTGCTGGGGTTCCGGCTGTGAGGGAAGAGGTAGGGAAAGAAAAAGCTGTCTGTGTCTGGCCACCCTATGGGTGTCTCTAAAGCTCAGCACGGGCTAGGACTCAGAGGACTGCTTCTTATTCTACACACTTGAATTTGGCTGAAAGGTGATGCTCCAGAGATAAAGCATGCAGGCAGATTTAGGTCGAGTTGGATTCAGTCTGTTCAGATACTTGGTAGATTGAGGCTGGCTTTCCCCTCAAAGACTGCAAGGACTGTAAGACTGGCTGGCAAAGGGGGAAAGCTCTGGTCTCTCTTTGGGAATCAGAGGCAAAAGCTTCTGCTTCACTCAGAATACTTGAAGACTCTATGATCAAGCAGCCCTTTTCCTCCACCTTCAGTCAGTCACATGCCTGCTAATTAATGAGCAAGTGAGGCGAGAGTACTTGGTTCTTTAAGGCTTTGCAATTGTGTCTCCAAAATAGACTGTTTCATTACCAACATGCTCAAGCCCTTGCATTACAACTGGGAGAGCATTAGTATAGCTCAAGAATTTTATGCTCTCTAATTTCTCTGTCATTCTTCATAAAAAACAAAATCATTTTATTTAGAAAAATGACTTGGTAAAAACTGGGAAATAGTAAAAGATTATTTATTTATTTATTTATTTGTTTGTTTGTTTGTTTTGGTCCTTGGAAGCAACTGTAGATTGTGAACATTGTTCTTGGCTTTTGGTTCATTGTACTGAAGTTCCTGTGAATGCTGAATTTGGCAAGAAAATTGTTTTTTAAAAAACAATCCCTTTTAAGAAAGCTGAGAAAATCAAGAGCAAAAAATTTTTAAAAAGCAACAAAAATTACTGGATATTTTTTGAGGCTTTTAAATATTTATTATAAATAAGTATAAAGTGATTTCCATGAAATTTCTTGTGCAGTACAACTACTGGATGTAGAAATTCATTTACCTCAAATATTTCTTATTAATGTCCTTGGCCTATGGAGTCCACAGTGGCATCAAAAGTTTCGGAGTCACCCCAAGACCACCTGGGTCTGAGGGCATCTCTGGTTATTTGGCACAGTGGCGACTAATTTGCAAAGGTTCTCTTTGGTCACTAACACTTTGGAGATGAAAAAGGAAATTCCAACTCTGGAGTGCAAGTCCTGTCCAAGGGGAATACTGAGTTTTTTAATGCAGATTTCTTAGCCTCTTATCCTTCCAACTTGAAATGAATTCCTCTAATACCAGTTTATTCTAGAATAATCTTCCATACATATGGGTTTCATCTGCTATTTTTACTGCTTAAGAACCTATAAAAGTATACTCCAGCCTTTCACTCCAGATCCTCTCCTTGGAGTTTATTCACTATTTCCTACACATATGTTACCTTGCCGGCCTTATTTTAAATTACTTGAAAACAAGGATCATATCTTAGCATAGTGTTGTGCACATGAAGTGGACCATGCACACTTTTGGAATCAACATATGTCTTCCTCTGCACCTGTCACCCTCCCAACCCCCAACACACACAGTGTGCTTGCACTAGTGAGTGAGGTCAACATCACTAATGCTCTTCTACAGATAAAAAGCCACAGCTCAGGTCTGTTTGTCACTGGCTCTAATTTCAAATTACACAGAGACGGTACAGTGTAATGGGAGAGAGCAATGATGCCGGAGCCCAAGAATTTTTAAGGATTCTTGGCTGAAACACCAATTTTCCTTTAGGGAAAATTGCTTACACGGCCCATGCCTTATAGTTTTTCCTCTATAAATGGGATGGTGCAAAGTCACACATCACATTGGGTTCTTGTAATGATTCAGTATATAAATGTATAGTGCGTGTCACGTCCTACATGCCAGGTAAATGTTAGCCACAAGTAACAGTCATATTTTCAGATATTTTTTCAGATTTTTAATAATTCAGTGTGTAAACATTTTTCTTTTCAATTAGCACTGAGGAGTATTAACACTAAAGCACATGATCATATCTGTGAAAAAGTATAAAGCATCTATCCTAAAAGCTGAGCTTATACAAATGGTATTTATGAATACTTGCCTTAATTTGCTGATTCCAGTTGCTAATAACAAGATTTGCTGTCTTTTCAACTTCATTATCAAGCTATTAAAAAGAGAAGTGAAAAAAAGTTATTCTTTCTTTTTGTTTAGTCATTATTATAGACTAAATATGTGTCCCCACCCCCAACTCATAGATGAAAACATTTTCCCCTGATGGGATGGCATTTGGACATGGAGACTTGGGTGATTAGGTCACGAGCACGGGGGCCTCATGCACGGATCCACACCTCAGAAGAGGCCCTGCACTGTCCCTTGCCCCTGGTACCATGTGAGGGCCAATGAGAAGATGGCTGTCCATGCAGCAGGAAGAGAACCCTCACCAGACACTGTATCTGCGTGTGCCTACATCTTGGACTTCCCAGCCTCCAGAATGGCGAGGAACCAATTCCTGTTATTTCTAAGTTACCCAGTTTATTTATTCTATTAGAGCCCCCTACACTGACTAAGGTAGTCCACGGCACTGGTTTTGTAATTCTGGTACGATTACTCTCACTATCCACTGGAGTTGGAAAATCCGGCAGGGTTTTTTCTTCTGTAAAAAGATTTTTTTTGTTTTCATGGCACTGAGCCAGGTTTAGCCACCGTGAGCCAAGGAAGGGCTTTGCAAATTCTAAGCAAGGACTCTTCCACTGAGCTGTAACTCCAGACCTTTTCTAATAAGATTTCTACAGAAGCTACCTTACCTCCACGTAAATATCTCTTGAGGAGATTTGTCAACGCACTGATTTCTAACCTATATGAATGTGAAAAGCGCATACACGTGTGCAGCTGTGTGAGGAAGCTCTCGTGTAGGCCGTGTTGCTGTGGGCTCCATAATGTCCACTTCTACTTCAGTTCATGTGGCAAAAACATCCACACCGGGAGAATCGGTAAACAGTCCCTGAAGTGCTCATTTTACTACGTGCCACCTTTGCCCACAGCGTGACTGTTGTTTTAATTTCACAGAGACTGGAATCTTAATCATCATTAATTTTTTTCAAGGGACACTAGTAATAATGATAAAAGTGGATCTAGGCAACCCTTCCGGGAGATCAGTTAGGGCAGAAGTTAGGACAGGAACTTTTTTCGTGTTCCACAGACTCAGTAGGTCAGTCATTATCCGGCTTTCCTGAGATCCCACAAACAATATATTTTTATGTTTCCCCATTGGCTATGTGTAGAATACTTAGTCTATTGTAACTGGCACAGTGAAAGTAATTTTACGCACCGTGCCATTGTTTTACTCAATGGATGCACCTGGAATCTAGAGCAAGTGCACTTGTAAAATTAAAAGTTAATCTTTTATCCTTTGTGAGAGATGAGGGTGGGTAGATGGGGTGCACTACAGTGGCAATGGCAGCGCTGAGAGGCTTATAAACTGGAACAGCAGTTTGGGGGAGTCATGACATCAACGGCCTAAATCACTGTGATAAATTGCAATAGCATTGTGCCTGATTTATGGAAAATATGAAGCAAATATAACTATCATACTATTACATGATATAAAAAATACATTGTAATTAATGAAATAGAGGTTAGTGTTTGGTTTTATTAAACTAACCAGCAAAGGCGGATGATTATATTGCTTCCTAGCAATTTTTGTTTCCACCCATCATCCCAGGCTTAGGCAGAGCCTCCCTCTGACACCAGTCCTCCTTCCGGCCTCAGTGGAATGAGTTTGAATTGTTAAATGCCTTTCTCGTCTCTCCTCCATCGGAGCTTCCTCACATCCTTTATCCTCCTGACACAAACCGACCCTCAGGACCTGTGTCATCGGAACCGCTCCCAGCACTGTCTCTGCCCCTCTGGGGCCTCCCTCCTGGGGCTGGGCACCGGCCAGAGCAGGCAGAGAGCCTGACCCCACCACGGTCAGAGCCAAAGCAGCAGCAGTAACAGCGGGGACACTGCCCAGAGACGTGGTCCGAAGAGCCTAAGAACCGTATCACACACAAAGAAAGAGGACAAGGAACACAAAGGAAACCGTTCTCAAAGGAGAGCTCCCCAGGAAAGCTAAGGGGTGAGCTCTGAAATGACCGGGTAACCAGGGAGTCATTTACATAAAGACATAATCCCAAGCTGGTAAGCCTAGAAAAGCATCTTTTTAAAAAAAAAAAAAAAAGTATTTTTTTTCTATTTATAAGTGCAATAATAAAGTACAAAAATTAAAATAAAAATAACATCATTTCATCATCTCAAGGCAATTTGTATCAACCTTTCAGGAAGGATCCCCCAGGTTTTTTTTGTTCTACATGTAAATACATATTTATCTCTTAACAATTGAGATTATGTTGCCTATTTTTTATCCTACTTTTTAAACTACACTGTGAAAAAAATCACCATGTGAAAAAATTCTTCTGTAAAATGATTTTTCGTTTTCATGGCACCGAGCCAGCTTTGGCCAGCATGAGCCTAGGGCCTTGCATATTCTAAACAAAAACTCTATCCCTGAGCAATACCTCCAGACCTTTTCTAATAAGATTTTTAATGGTTATACAATGTTCTATTGCTTGACTTTGTTTTGCAGTACTAGACATCAAATCTAGTGGCTTTGCCTTGAGCCACAGCCCTTTTTCTATTTGATTTTTCTTTTTTTTTCATCTTGAGACAGGGTCTCGCCAAGTCTCTAAAGCCCCCAGCCTGGGATCAGTTTCCCACAGTGTTGGGTTGATATGAATGCACTGCTATGCCCTGCTATCATCATTATTTCTGAATGATGATGTACTCGCCACTTTTTCACTATTAAACAAGGATCTGACAAACATCCTTGTGTGTTCTGTTTATTCTTATGATAAATTCCTGTGACCTAACACCACTTTTAGATCAGCTTTTCCTCCTTGGGTCACAGACAGAAATCTTGCTTTCTCAAGAGGGCAGGAAAGAAAACCTTTACTCACCGATTTTCTCTTCTTCTCCTGCATGCTCAGGACTTGATGAGTTGGTTTTATTGCTTCCGACTCAATTGCTTTGCCAAGTTTTCTGGAAATAGAACATAAAGACATACAGTCATTGTCTTAGGTCTTACGTCTACTTTCCAAATTTCTTTCTGGGGGGATGAAGTGGTGTGTTACAGTGGATCTATTCAGCCCCAGCTTGAAGTGGAATATTCGTTCCCACCCACTTCCAATGTTTCCGGCTCCCTGTGGGGTTGGAGCCAGGTCGGGGTAGGAGCAGGGGGCACTCACTGATGCAGCTCCGCGGTGGATTTCATGCCCTCTGAAGCCCATGACCAGGCGCTGCTGAGACAGCTGGAGGCAAAAATGGCAGGGACAAGGGAGGTGTCATTTTCCAGGGAGCCCTGAGAAACGAGGCCGCCTGCCTGATGCACTCCGCAGTCGCGGCACTCAGCTCTCTAACCTGATTTCAATTTCCCCATGAGATTCAACCCTGCCGATAGACCTCTTTCCACCCTAGTCATCATCAGTGCTGCCTTTCTTCCCCAGTCGGTTTCATTTAGATTTTCATCTCCCATTTCACGCCTGTAGGAAATCAAGGAAATAAAGTGGCCAGGTGTGGGATAGAGTAGTGTGTCTGAAGGCCCTCAAAGACTGTCTTGTCAGACTCAGTTCAGAGACGAATAAATTGAGTGTTGAGGAAGTTAAGGACTCCCATCCCTGGCTGCACCCGCCCTGCTGCTTTTGGAGTCAGGCGTCATCTGCTCCTGGCTGGCTCTCAGGACAGCACCTCAAAACATCTTCTGATGCCACGGGGGTACCCCAAGGTCACAGAGGGACACAGGAAGGGTTAGGAAGGGCGATGTTGTCCTCTCCCGTACGGCTGGACAAGGAATCTTTGGGTGTGATGAAAACGTCTGCTTGGATTTGGTGGTGGTTTCATGGCCTGCAGCTCTGTCAAGACCGACCAAGCCGCACACTTAAAACGGGTGCTCATGGTTGCACGTGAGTAAGGTTATTCTGTAAAAAGGGTGTCAGGCACATTATGGAGCAGAGCATTGTCCGTGTGCTTCTCAGAGCAGTTTGGCAGCGGGCAGGGAATGCAGCGTGCCAGCCTCTGCGGGTCCTGGGTCCTCGTGTGTTTCCCATGTGAACTTGGAAGAATCACTGTTTCTCCAAACTTCACTGAACTGATCTTTTAAAATAAAAATGCATGGGGATACCTGTGCGAGTACTTAACATGGATTTTGGTGTGGAGAAAATTTCAGTGAATGCTTATCATTAAATATTGGGTAAAGCTGCCTAACAGAACACCTGGGACAGGCCAGCTCTCTGCACTACTGTGCTGGGTGCTGGGGTTGGTACTTAGGGTAAGACACACACCTCCACCTCCCTACCTCTCATTCTTTAAGGTGAAATTAAGCAATCAAATGAAAGTCAGCATGGACATCAGCTATGCTACCAAGTACATTTGTATTATTATCATTTAATCCTCCTTGCAACCAGAGCAGGTAGGCTTTACTTCCATTCTAAAGAGACATTGAAAGGAAAGATAATTGCCTATGTCACACACCCTGTAAGTGCTAAAGCTAGAATTTGAACAAGTGGAGTCTAAACAAAAGTCTGTCTATACGCAGCCACGTGCTGCAGTGCCTCCTTTGTAGCCTACCACAAGGCTGTCCTAAAAATAAAAATAAAGCTAAAAGTCAGGGCAATTTTAAAGCCATCATTTGCTATCACAGGTGACATCCGCAGGCTTTGGGCTCTGAGCTCCAGAAGCTCCCTCTCCCCGCTCTCTGTCAACATAATAAAAAGCCTCTGTTAGAGCACTGCTAGTCGGGGTCACATCTGCACGCATTAGTCCAGAACCTTCATAGCAAATTATCACTAATAGATGCTTTTAGAATACCTACATCTTTCTTCTCTCCTGCAGGGAAGGAATGTACTTCTTTCTTACTGCTGCTAAGTACTGAGAATGTGAACCAGATTTTGCACCCAATGTGCTAAGCTCTTTATGCACATTTCTCCTTTAATTGTATCTCTGTCCCTCTCTCTCCGTCAGTCTGTCTGTCTGTCTGTCTGTCTCTCTCTCTCTCTCTCTCTCTCTCTCACACACACACACACACACACACACACACACACACACCCCGCAATGGAGCACACATCAGTATTGCATTTAATAGAGGAGGAAATCAAGCAGAGAGGCCAAATTACTTGTCAAATGTCAGAGTGGAGATAACACAGAATTCACACTCCCTGAGTTTAAGGCCTTCTGACTTCACAACACCACTCCGTGAGTTAAATGGCATCATGAAGCCAATTATGAATGTGGGCTTAGAGGTTAACAGGGCCCAGGGTGAACCTGAACCTGTAAGTCATCACCTGCATGACAGGGAGTGTCGTTTGTTCTCCAAACCTCAGCTCCCTATCTGTACAGATGGATGACAGTAAGACCTCTCAGGGGTTGCCCTGAGGACTGAAGCGGAGAACCTGCAAAGCATGATCCAGAAAGTGCCGGACACACAGTAAGTGACCAAGGCCTGGAGGCTCTGCTTGATCGTATGTATCTGCTACATCTCTAAGAAGAGTCTGGAATGGGCCATATGTCAGTTTTTGCTATTTTAAAGAATACCTTTGCCTTACCTCTGCCACAATACTTACTTTTTCTTGGTGCCCTGCAACACTTTGCTTAACTTGGTGGCCAGTTTCTGAAGTCCTTTGGAATAGCTGATCTCCAGGTTTGCCCTGTTAGCAAAGGGCTAGTTGTTAAATAGTGTGTGCTGGTCAGAAATCAGCACACACACACACACACACACACACACACACACACACACACACGAGCATGTGCCCCTGAAGGCTCAGGTTGAAAATGAGAAGGGAGATGATTTACTTACTACAAGGATCTACCTGTCCTTTGGCAACCCCTTGGAATTATCAAAGATTCTACAAAGGAGAATGTTGTATTAATCTTCTTTCACACTAGTGTTACAGGCTGAATTCTGTTTCTCAAACAGATGCCCTGACCCTCAGTGTCTGTGAATGTGGCTTTATTTGAAACAGGGTCTTTGAAGGCGATGATCAGGTTCGGATGAGGTCATTTAGGTGAGCCTGGACCCAATGCCGATATCCTTGTAAAAGGGGGGATTTGGACACAGAGAAGCTGTTTACACTGGGAGACGCTGTGTGAGGATGGAGGCAAAGATGGGGGATGGATCTACAAGCTGAAGCTGTGGAGGATCCCAGCAAACCACCAGATGCCAGGAGAGCGCCAGGAGTCAGACTCCCGCTCCCAGGCCCCAGAAGGAGCCAATTGGGCAGGTGGACACCTGGCCCTCAGACTTGTGATCTCTGGAACTGTGAGACGGTACAGTTTTGCTGTTCAGGTGCTTGTTTTCCCGGCAGCCCTTGAAACCTAACACAACTAGTAAGGAACAGAATCAGCAGGTTAGCTCCAGATAATAATATTGACAATTAAATGATAGCTTCCGGGTGAATTAACCACACAGCGGCTGTCTTCGATTTTGGTTAGTTTGCTTTACTTATTTTATTTGTTTGTTTTTATGGTGCCCAGGGCCTGAACCTGGGGCCTCCTAGTGCTGGGTAAGTGCATTACCTGAGCTACAATCCCAGCGGGGGAGGTGGCCAACATCAGATTTTTGAAATGAACTTGCCCTACTTCCTGTGCAGGCTGAGACTCAGCAGGAAGTCTGGGCATGCCTTCCTTGGCTCTTCAGACAAACTGAATCACTCCCTTAAAATGATTTTACTGTGTCTTATTTTTAGGTCCATCTGTAGCTACAATGAGAACATGTCCTATCTCACTTTTGGCTGCAGATAATGAAAATGTAGGAAATTAAATTCAATGTATATTTTCATTCTTATATGGACCACAAGAGGTGTAGTTGTTTATTTTTCAATATTTTACTTCTACGTTATTAAATCTTTAAAATTATTTCTGACTTCATTTCATCTGGGAAACAATCCCTGGACTCTTCAGTAACTAACATAATACCTGCACGTCTTCACACAGATTGGATTCGGTGTTATGGACCAAATAAAGACAGACTGCTCTTTTATAAATGGCCTAAGGGCATTGATCTATAGCTAAATCCCTATTTATTTTTCTGTATTAGTACAGCTGAGCTTTCAGTTATTTTTACCACATTTTTGAAAGAAAGTAGATCACTGTAGGATGCATGCTAAGGCCTCAGAGCAGAAAACGCCTATGTGGTATCAGAACTTACCCAAGAATAACAAGAGGTTAAGGTGACTATTTTAAAAATATCTCCTTGTACTTGAAGATAGACCTCTTTATTATAAGAATATGCAGCATTTGAAAGAGGGGGCTGGAAGAAGTCACCTCAGGTGATGTAGAATCCTGTGAGATCTCTACCTGGTGAAGTGGCCTCAAGCAACATTGAAAAGGAGCACTTGGGCCTATCTCTAGGAGTTTTGTGAAGATCAAAATGCGGCGATAACCCACACCTCATAGGAGCTTAGTGACTGGAACAATTAACTGTTGACCTGCAAGGCTCTGTGTCATCAGATCTCTGCTCCCTTCCTGATTTCTCCTCCTATTATTCAACCTTTTGCTCATCCTCACCTTGCTCTAAAACCCTTAGAATGGCGCCTGGTGCCTTGTAAGTGCCCAGTAACCACTGGGTGCTCTTATGTTTTGTGTGGGCAGAACACAGGTCTTCAGCAACCTCATGAAACAAAGGTGACATGTCCTGTTGTCAACCGCCATCCTGCCTCAGGGCCTTTGCACTTGCTATGGCCTCTGTTGAGCACCCTGCTATATAGCCATGTGGTATTCTCCTTCCCGTTATCTCCAGCACATCTTATTTAAATGTCACCTTCTCAGAGGCCACACCGAAAAGATCCTGTCACTATTCCCTTACAGCTTTACCTGTGGCCAGGCACTTATCACTACCTTATATCGCACAATCTTTTAGTGAAGCCCTATGAATATCCATAGAATGTTGTGTTCATTGCTGAATTCCTAGGCCAAGAGTGGTAGATGGTGCATAAGAGCTACTTGATACAAATGACATGAATGACTGACGGAATGAATAAGTGAACGGAGTTCACAGCAGGTCTGGGTTACAATTCTTACCGTTCCCTGCTCATCTCTTCTTTGTGCTGCTTTGCAGTGCTGGGGCTTGCGCACTCGAGCTAAGCACACTACCACTGAACTATCCCTAGCTCTTTTTAAATTTTATTGTGAGACAAAGTCTTGGTAAATTCCCCAGACTGGCCTTGAATTTGAGATCCTCCTGCCTCAGCCTTCTGAGTAGCTGGGATCACAGGCCTGCACCACCATGCCAGTTCACAAGCTCATTCTCCCCTCACCGCTTGAAAACTAAACTGACAAGCCAGTTTGCTGCTTTCCCACGAGTATGAGCTGCGCACAGCTGCATGTGAGAGTACACTGCTTTCTAGCATTTGGAACACTAGACACATAAGCCCTTTCCCCATCCACTACAGCCAGGGGGCTTTGTTGAACTTGCTGAGCAATCTACTCTTTCTTGAATGCAGCACACTGAGCATTGAAAATGATGAATTTGCAGTGCTAAGTTCACAGCACTGGCCACAAAACAAATTATTAGCAAATAGTAATTCTTCTCATAATATTATTATGTACCCAAAGGATCCTAAATATTCAAAGGATCTGTAAATCCACAGGTCGACAGAGCAGGGGAAAGAACCTGTAGTTTCCTCATCCTTCTCTTCCCCACGAACAATCCAAGTAGCTTCTAAGGGAGCAGAGACAGGGTCAGGCCCAGTCTTCCTCCGTCCAACGTCACATTCACAACGTCCTTTGGGGCTCCCTAAGTGTCTAAGAGGCTAAAAAGACGTCACAGAGCACAAGCACCAGAAAGAAATGTTGTGTGCTTTTCTGTTGTTGACTTAATTGGATTCACTTGGGGGAAAGGAGTTGGGTTTTGGAGGCAGGACAGGGAGAGGGTCCCTTCGTCCCTTGAGACCTGGCACCTTTTTGAATCTGGCCACCTTTGCTCGTGAAGGTCAGGCTTCAGCCTGTGGAGGCTCAGTGCAGCCAGCCCCGCACACCACACCAGAAGGCTTCTCTTCACCTGCACACACCTCACGTGCCTGGAGCAGGGCAGATTAATGATTCCTGTCTTTCCGCACATGAAGAACATGTCTGAACAGTGCTCTCCTGACAGAGGGATGCGTCACCTTTGTTTCGTGAGGTTGCTGAAGGCCTGTGTTTTACCCACACACAACATAACAGCACCCAGCAGTTACTGGGCACTGACAAGGCACCAGGCAAGGTTTTAGATGTATTCCCTCACTTAATCCACAAGAGGCCCTATGAGGTAGGCACAGTTTCTCCTGCCCATTTGATAGAGGGAACATCATGGCACAGAGTTGAGGTAGTCACTCACCTGAGGGCACACAGGAGGAGGTGATGGTGCTGGGACTTGAACCTGGGTGGTGTGGCTGGAATGCCTGCCTCTTAACTACTCAGTTCCCCAGCCTCTATGGTTGTGGGGACGAGGCTGCAGGTGAACTGCAGGGGGAGTCAGACAAAAGCACTTTTTAAAACGGACACCACCTCTCACTTTGCCTTTTAACTGTAGTGCTCTGAATCACCAGAGCTCAGCAGCTAGGGTCCCAGCCCACTGCTGCCTCAGGGAAAGCACTAGGAGCTCCCTGGGCCTCTTCTCAGGGCATCCACTGGGGTCATTCTGGGGTGGGGAGTGGGAGTCTGGCAAAGGGAAAAGGGAGGCGACTCATCAAGTATCATCAGCCTAGACCTCTGGAACTGTACTGAGTTGGACCCAGCTCTTCTCAACAGCACAGATGTGCCTATAATCCCAGTGCTCAGGAGGCTGAGGCAGGAGGATCGCCATGAGTTTGAGGCCAGCCTCAGCTACACAGTGAGTTTAGAGCCAGCCTCAACTACATAGTGAGACCTTTTCTCAAAGAACCAAGAAAAAAAAAAAAAAACCCAGAAACAAAAACAAAGGGTTTTAGAATCAACACTTGAATTCGGGTCCAAGATTCAGCTATCACAAATTGTGTTGCTATAAACACAGAAATACGTATATCATTGAATCAGCCAAGCAGAGCAGGCTGTGACCATCTACTCTTGGCACCGGAAGCCCTAATGACCATTTGGGAAACTTACTACAAGTTTGAAGGAACAGAAATGAAGTGCTGTGGGGACGCTGGAGTGGGTCGCGGTCTCCCAGGCTTCTGACCCCCACTGGCTTTTATTTTAACAGATACTCCTGGTTACATTCCAACCTAGAGAAAAAGTCATTCTTATAGGAAGCCACAGTCCACGTGGCAAGTGTAGAGAGAGCTGTCATTTTTCCAAGTCGGAGTGCTTATCAGTGGAAACAAACACTGCCTTGATGCTCTTCTGTGCTGTGGCCTAATGAAGCAGTTGTACATATGCCTCCCTTCAGGATGTCTGCTGAATAGAAATAAATGACCTTGGTGCCTTCCTGAGGCACAGGCAGCAACACACATCGTGAGGAGATTGCTTTCTTCCCAGTCCCTTGCAGGGATCTGTTTTATCATGGTTCCTAGCTAAAAGGTACCACATGCAAAAAGGAATCTAGAGGGGCACAGCTAACAAATTCAGACGTGGAATTTCCTTTTCCTCATTAAAATAATTAGGAATAAGCTTGGAATTATTCTGTGCTTAATTGTATAGTGGTTCGCCACCCCCCCCCATTCTATAGCCACTATTTCTACCATGGGTGAAGGCA